AAAAAAAAAAAAAAAAAAAAAAAAAAAAAAAAAAAAAAAAAAAAAAAAAAAAAAAAAAAAGATAAAACTAATACAAGTTATATTGGGAGTTTGTGCATAAAGAGGAAGCTTCAAGTGTAAAAAGAGTTAAAAGGTTTAAAGAATAGAGAGAAAATGTATTGTGTAGATTCAGATGAATCGATTAAAGGGAAGCTTCAGCCACACTTTTGGTTTTTTGGTGAAAGCTAATAGTTCCTTCTTGAAAGAAGAGCAGCAGAAAGTTAAAAGAAAAATAGATCATTTAGTCTAGTTTTTGGGAATCTTTATTTTTGCCTTATTCTATCAACTCAATTTCTCTCTCTCTCTTTTAATTATTAATTGAAGTCCGAGATCGACAAATAAAACATTTTTGATAGGGTGTGAAAATCTCTCCTTATTATGCGCGTCGTGAGCCTGACGACGATACGCAACGAGCTAAAGTAAACAATATTCGCTAGCGGTGAGTTTGAATAATTACACTAACTTTATTCTTATTTCAGAATTATATTTCTTGTTTTATCTTCTAAATTCTAAATTTACCCTCCCAAACAAGTCACCGTCAATTTTTTTTTCATTCATGGAGGTTTATTTACATGATTAATGACGTTCTTCTGGTACTAGTACTCATTTGTTCATACATAGTTGTTGTTTTATTTATTAATGTTTTCATGCTTTTGGACCCTATATTATTCCTAAATTATGTTCATATCATACCCATTTTACATAAAAAAAATTTACAATTGTACTGTATTCCGTTCATGATTTAGAACCGGATTCAACACATGAAGGTCCCAACATGTAACTACACAAAATTCGAACTAGGATTTGGAACCCTGGGCCTAAGGCGTTAAAAATAGGACTACTGTACCATCTTGGTTCTAATTATTATTTTATTTTCATATTTATACTTATTAAAATCGATAGAACTCTACCTTATTTTTAAGAACATGCAAATATGATATGATAGAAAGAATGTTCGTCCTCTCCATAACACTGAATTTTTTGTTCGAAGTCTAATTAGTTGGAAATATCTATCGATTAGTTCAAACCTTTACGGTCTTCCTGGTTCCTATTCAAAAGAAAAATTTTGAAATCATGGTCGTTTTGATAATTATTTGACCAAAACCTAAATTTAACCAAATAATAATAAATAAATAAAAGGAATATTTTTGGTAATGGTGGAAACTCCATGAATGAGAAAACCAAAACCTAGAGCCATAGCCATAGCTAATTAAACCTAAACCCCCGTACCAAATTAGGTAGCTAGGGTTTCACTTTGGACAAACATTTCTCTATCAAAACAATATAAACATCGAGAAAGATTTAGAACGGCTAGATGAGATTTTCGAGTTTATTTAGGTCTCGTTTGATAACATTCATAAGCAAAATATATATATATATATATATATATATATATATATATATAATATATTAGCTAATCAATTTTTCGCCTCACCGCTAACCCTAATCTCTCTATAAAACAACACGTGACAGTAATTTTGAACACTTTAAGCCGTATAGCTCAACCTATAACCAACATAAAATATGTACTAAGTTACGAGGTCAGAATTTTGAATCTCCGCTCCAACTTCACCTCCATTTCCGTTTTTTATGATTAAAAAACTCTCAGAAATTTTATTATTTTTTATTTTTTTTATTTTTGTAAGGAAGGAAATAAATATAAAAAAGAAAAATCAAAATTAAACCCCTTTTTTTGTTTAAAATATTTCCAGCTCTGTTAACATTCTGGAAAAAACTTACCTAGAACTTCAAACCAAAAGACCAAAAATTAAAATTAAAAATTAAAAATTAAAAAAAAAAAATAAAAAGAAATTGCTGTTCTTGTCAGTGCTTCATCTCTAAGCTACCAGAAGAAGCATCTTTGAATTCCAATTCAGCTCAAAGAACCAACAATTATTAATTAATTTTAACCAAAAATTAAATTGCGAAGAAATTAAGGTTTTTTCCCCCTCCATTTCCTGAAATTATTAATTAATTTTAACCAAAAATAAATTGCGAAGAAATTAAGGTTTATTCCAAATAAACAAAATTACACAAGAAAAAAAAAACACACAATTTTCATAAAAGTTTATGTTTTTTGGGGCTAAAATGGCGGAGTACGACCTGTGCCCCAGTAGGGCGCCGTCGGCAATTGACAGGTATTCATTAGATTTGGCGCCATTCCATGAAATTCCGGCGAAAATTGTGGATGTTGCACGGCAGTTCCCGGCGACTTAACCGGACTACTTCCAGCCTCCGGCGCTGTCTCCACCGCCATTTCATCGTCCTCCAACGGCAGCCTCTCGTACGCCGCGTTTCCAAACGAAGCCGCAGTAATCACCACCGGTCCCGAACTCAAAAGTGGTCCCACCACACTTCCTCCTATAACCTGCCCCTGCCTGCCCGATAAATACACGGTCAGCCTCGACGCTACTGGTGGCGCAGGCGGCGGCAGAAACGACCCCGACAGCGAAAGAATCTCAAATCTCCCCGGCAGAGCGATCACCGCACCGGTGGCGGAGGCAGCCGGCTGTTTGAGTGTGACGTTAGTGACCGCTCCGGCGGCGGTCAGAATGCAAATGCCACGTTGGCGCTGACGTGCGAAAATCGTTAGGGTTTCGATCACGTCGTTGGCGTTGGCGATTTCAATGACGTGGCACCGTAGTGCATTAGCGCTGTCGCGTGTGATTATCATCGGCGGCTTCGGCTTGTTCTTCGACCCAGCCGGGCGTCCTCGTGGCCGTCTCGAGCCCTCGCCGCCGCTTAACTCCTTGAGCTCCACGGCGGCGCCGCCGTCAGAGATATCATTTCCGTTGTGTTGGTCGGGGTTTTGGTGGAGGAAATGGTGGTGGGGATTGAGTTGAAGGTCTCTTGAAATGAACGGCGGCGGAAGATGACGGCCGTGAGCGGCGGCGGCTCGATCCATTACAGTTTTACACAGAATTAATATAAAATTAAGGTTTGAAACCACAAAATTGTTCAATGATTTCAAAAACCCACGAACTGAGCTTCGATTTTGATGATTTGAGCTGAAATTTTTTGAAGATTTTCAGAAGAGGAGAGAAAATGGAATTGAAATGAACGATGATGGCTCTTTTGAGACTAAAAGTTCTTAATTTTGTTTATTTATTTATTTTTCTTTTTTTCCCCTAAATTATTCTTTAAAAAAAAAAACTACAAAATTATTAATACATTTTTAATATCTAATGAAACTTATTTATCATTTATATTTATTATTACCATAATATTAATTTTGTCGTTGAAAAAAATACTACTATCATTAAGATTTTGGTCAACTGACATTTAAGGTCAAACTTGAGCGGATATCAAATTTCAGGTAGGTAGCCATCACGGATTGAACTCCTTACCTCTTATTTCTCCAAGAATTTTACGATCCCTTGGTCCGTAATAATAATTTTTTTATTAATATATATTTTAAAATCGGAAGCTGATACAACTATTTAAGAAGAGACCAATCTCTTAAAATTTTTGATATTCTTACTATTTTCAGATAATATTAACAGTTAAAGAAACGGTAAATAACTAAAATATTTATTTCATGCAATAACTTGGTAACTAAAGTTTTTTTTAGATAAATAAATTTAAAATTTTAATGGCTATGCATGTAACTCTTGATGAAGTGTTATTTAAAATTTATTATTATTTTTTAATCAGATGAAATATGAAATATTTTGTGAGAATATAATCTAATGTCATGCGAGGTATTATCTCTAGTTGATAAAATTGTATGTCTCGTCTTTAAATTGTCGTCCTATTATTTGAATTACAATATTAAAAAAAAAACTCACATTACTTAACTATAAAATAAATAATTGATTAAAAATTTAAAACAAAATTAAAAATTATAGGTCGTAAAAGAAAATAATATATATATATATATATATATATTAATTGAACTATACTCAAATTAAATTGAACGAGGGTCGGGTCGATTTGAAGCGAGATAGATTAGAATTAGGGCAAAGGAATGGGTTAGAGAAAAGGATGCGCATGGGCGGTGGGAAGTGGGTCCCACCCCATCCCTCTTTCTCCCTCTCTTCACTCACTCCTAGACCACAATCAATTCAATTATATTTAATATTTATTAAATATTTATATATATATATATATATATATATTTCTCCATTGGCCCCAACATCCCATGTTTTCTCTCTTCCCTCAATAATGTCTTTTTGTCTCTAAAATCTATTCATCAATACAACCCTATTAATCTAATTAATTCCATGCTAATCCCATCTATATATATCTATATATATATATATTAACGATCCAGATCCACTACTAGCAGATATTATTTTCTTTGGGTTTTTCTTCTCGAGCTTCTTCTCAAGGCTTTGAAACGCGTCTGCTAAGGGAAAGTTTCCACACCCTTATAATGATTTGTTCTCCTCCACAACCAACGTGGGACATCACAATCCACCTCCCATTTGGGACCCAGCGTCCTTATTGGCACACTGCCTCGTGTCTACCCCCCTTCGGAGAACAACGAGAAGGCTGACACATCGTCCGGTGACTGACTCTAATACCATTTATAACGACCCAGATCCACCGCTAGCACGATGTCCCACATTGATTGGGGAGAAGTACAAATCATCTTTTATAAGAGTGTAAAAACCTTCCCGTAGCAAACGCATTTTAAAGCTTTGAGAGAAAGCCCAAAAGTGAAATTCCAAAGAGGACAATATCTACCAAATCTAAGTCGTTACAATACAATTGAATATAAAAATTTATAACAATATATGTAATTTCATGTCACTATATTTATTAATTTATCACCAAATCTTTAATTTTACTATTTTTTTCTTTCGTAGTACAATAGATGAAAAGATGGAAAGATTTAAACCTCTGATGTAAAAAAAAAAGGAGTACTGTGTCAGTTATTGAGTTAAGCTCATGTTGTATAGCTCATGTTGTATGACTGTGTCATTAAATTTAAATTATATAAAATCGACCGAAGTACATGTCATCCAGTAAATTAGCCTAATTTCAAATATTTATTTTAATTATAAATTATTATTATTATTAAAAAAAGATGAAAACAAAGAGAATTATATATATATGGGATTTTTATTATAAAAAATAATTTATGGAGACAAAAAAATGAGAGGGTAAAAATGTAAGAAAGTTGGTTGTTGTTTGGGTGGCAGGAATCTGCGGAATTAAGGGCATGCACTCAGATAAGGAGGAGCACGTGTGGGGTCCTCGGGAATTGCGCTACCCGTGGGTCCCACCCCCCTCTATACTTATTGGCGCGTGCTTAACACTGCCTCTTTCCTTCCCTCCTCTCTCATTACTATTTAGCGCGTTTCATACACGCGCCATTATGCATCGTGCATGCATTTCGGCTTAATCAATAAGGCAAAGCAATTTTATATTTTAGTTAAAAAAAAAATAAACTGAATCTCTAATTTTGATTTTTAAAAGATTATTTTTAAGTTAAATATTTACTTTTTTTTTTGCATTTTACGCTATTAAAAAAATAGATTTAAATTTAAAAAAACAAAAAAAAAAGCATTTTGTGAAAAATTAAAATAAAAAAAAAGGGGGGGGGGGGGGGGAATT